GTGTGTTCCCTCCCTGGACCTCCATGGCTGGACAGTCCCGAGGACAAAAGAGTTTGGGTGGGGGCAGCAAAGCATTCAGGCTTGGGGTTCATGTGTCTAAGAATGCCTGTCACCCTCACACCCCCTCCCAGGCTGGTCCTTCGACTGTGGACCGAGGACAGCCAGAGCCTCATCCCCATGAGCGCCAAGTTTGGGGCCAGCCTGGAGCTGTGTGGACACTTGCTCAAGTCCGCCCGAGACCTAGGCCTGGCTGTGGTGGGAGCCAGGTAAGAGCACGGACTCTCCCTCCTGCGAGGCAGGGCTCCTGGTCCCCACGCCTGTCTACAGCCTCTGACTCCCTGGGTGCCCTCGGGTCAGCGTGGCCCCTCTGGGCCTCTGGTGGCTCCCTGTGGTCCTCAGAAGAGGAGGTGGGTGTCAGCTGCTGGGAGGGTGGGGCAGGCAAGGCACTGGCCTTCGGTTGCAAAATTTAACAGGATGCCGAAAACTTTGTACTCAAGATAAATAAGTTTTAATACAGTATTTAAATAATTAATGGAGAAAAAATCCATGATGAGAGAATATGAAATTTTAAATCAAGACAGGATTGGCATTTCTTTTCCCTATGGGTCCAATTACTGTTAACTAATCTTGTCTTTAAAGTTTTTGTATTTTTTTTATTGCTTAAAATATTACAAAGAGTAGTACAGTTGTCTCCTTTTCCCCCCCCTTGACCTTCCTAAAGGTTTTGTATTTTATTCATCATGGATATTTTTGCATCAGCAGGTTTGATCCCTTGATGGGGTGTGTACAGGAGGCAACCAATTGAGGTCTCTCTCTCTCTCTCACTCGCTCTTCCTCTCTCTCTAATATATATAGATGAGAGTCCCGGTGCACGAAATTCCTGCACTGGGGCGGGGGGATGTCCCTCAGCCCAACCTGCACCCTCTTCTATCTGGGAACCATCGTGGGATGTCTGACTGCCTGTGGGATCAGACCTAAACTGGCAGTCAGACAGCCCTCTCACAATCTGTAACTGCTGGCTCCCAACTGCTCGCCTGCCTGCCTGATCACCCCCTAACCACTCCCCTGCCAGCCTGAATGATGCCTAACTGCTCCCCTGCCAGCCCGGTCACCCTCAACTGCCCTTCCCTGCCAGCCTGATTGCCCCCAACCATCCTCCCCTGCTGGCCTGATCACCCACAAGGCCCTCCCCTGCCGGCCATCTTGTGGTGGTCATCTTGTGATGACATGGGGGTCGCCATCTTGTGCAAGGGCGTGATGGCCAATTTTCATATTACCTCTTTATTATATAGGTTAGTGCATGAAGGTTACTATGTTGATTGCTCAGTGCTTTGGTGCCCCCTTGAATGTTGCACCTGGAGAGCGTCCTCCCTCACCTCACTCCACCTGCCCCTGATTGGGTCTTCTGCGCCCCCTGGCGGATGGTTTGAGATTTGGGGTTCAGATCACTTGCATTCCAAGGAGGAGAAGAGGAACCCCTGCTGCAAGGCTTTGGGAGGGGTAGCTAAGAGAGGTGACTGCCACACAACCACGAGAGCCCAACTCACGGACTGTCATGTGGTGTGTGTCTCTGGGACCCCCATGTGCACAGCCAAGGCTGAGGTTCCTGTGGGTGCCCACAAGTTCCATGTAGTCATGCGTGTCCCCATGTCTGTGTCCGTGCTGGTTCACATTGTGCCTGTGTGGCGGTTTCCAAATGTGTATCTCCTCCTGCTGACCCTTGTGTTTCCTCGTGTGTTTCTGCACCTGTCACCCCACCTGTGCTCAGCTTCCACGTGGGCTCGGGCTGCCAGAATCCCCACAGCTTCGCACAGGCCATCGCTGACAGCCGGCGGGTGTTTGAGATGGGCCGTGGGGTCGGGCATGACATGAGCCTCCTGGACATTGGAGGGGGCTTCCCCGGAGTGGAGGGCTCTGAGCCGGAGTTTGAGAAGGTAAGAGGGGAGGAGGAGAGGGCGTCTGGGGGCCCCAGCCGGGGTTTATTGCACAGAGTGTGTGTGTGTGTACAGGGAGCTCCTGAACCTCAGTCATGTGCCTGCATGTAGCTGGGCTTTGTGTTGGTTGAGAGGTCTCTGATGCTACATGCGTGGCATGTGCACATATACAAGTGTGTGTGTGTGTGTGTGTGTGTGTGTGTGTGTGTGTGTGTGTGTGTGTGTTTCCACGGGCCTATGTGGTTCTTTACCTTCTATAGACGTGTTGGTTCCTACCCCTGGTAAGGCTACAGTCAGATAGAGGTTTCCTTACTGTATCCCCCACACCCAGGGGACAGTTTCCCTTTGCTGATCACGTATTGATTTCAATGTTTCGAAGTCAGATCTCATGGTGCTACAGCCTGGTCACTAGGCTTGTGCCCTCGGGCACTTCTCGCCTCTGGGCCACAGTCTTGACCTATTTCCTCCCCTGCACAGGGGATGCTGACACCTTCCCACAGAGCTGTCAGGGGAATGAAGA